TGATATATGAACCTAAAACGAACAACGATAAAGCGAATAACTATTTCACCGATATATTCAAAAAAATCAAATAACCAGGTCAAAAACAATACAAGTCATCTATCATTTTAACACATTTATCTAAACACAACATTCATTCGCGATTAAGATCATTTCAAGAAAATCAGGAACTTATGATTAAATCACTGTTCGAAATAAGTATTGTAATGAGTAGCAACGACACCATATGTAGTGAATAAGAACATGAATGGGGACAATCGAATGCTTTTGAGCACAAAACTACAGAGCATCTCAATAAAATCTGAGAACCATATAGTGAATAGTTAATTTGTAAAATATCAATCCATCGTCTCAAATTTGTCCGTTCCTTTGCAAATATCAGTCACTTGATTGTTCATGCATTTTCATACCAATTTTGTTCCGTTCCTGTTCTTTCCTTCCCAATCTTCTACTGAAATACATTCTATACCTGACCACCGTTATATACTACTTATGTGGATATAAGTAACCCACACCACAGTATCACTCCTGTAGAAAGTGATTAAACTTTCAAGATATATATATATATATTAAAGCATTTAAACCTATTCATAAACTGAAGTGTTTTAAAACAAGTGTAGAAAAAAACATCTAACAGAATTCGTCATGAAAAACGAGTCAACTCTTATTACTGCAATAAGTTTTGTTTTATTATTTTGGATTCAATCTATTATCAACTATGTCTAGACTAATAATGAACTTTATGAATGTTTGACGGTGAAAACTATTTTTTTTTAAAAAAAAGAGATAAATACATTACAAAAACTCAATATAATTTAAACTTTGTTATGAAACAAATGAGCTAGTAATTATTAAATTGACTTTTAATGAATAATATAAAAATAATATTAATAATTATACGTTAATTTTTATAAATTTTGTTTTAAAGTTTATTCATTTATTTAGAAATTAATCATAGAAATTAGTTTCTATGTAATTTAATTGAACTAAATAAGAGAGAATAAGTTTAATGTAACTTCTTTTTTTAACTATTCACCTTTCATTTTTATTCAGATTTTCTAAATGTACAAGTGATAATTCTCATGGACTAACTTCTGTTGAATTTCTGTCAACAACAAAAAAATCTGAGAGTACTATTTAGTTGTTTCTTTATAGTATGTGACTACTAACTAGTGTGTGTATCCACCACTAGACAAGAGATCTAAACCAGAACCTTCAAGTTTATATTATAAATTTATTGAAATCGGAAATCAGAATGATTAGATATCAACCTAATGATGTATCTATTAAGTTGCTCTCCGAGGAATCTAGAAGTCATGAGAATAAATCTTTTGTAGTATAGTGGGTGTACATGGCTGGAGAGCTGCATAGTAGGAAGAAATAGCTACTTAATATTCACATTTAACTTTGGTTTAAACTAATATGAAGGAAAGTAAAGATTCTACTAACTGAACTGAAAATTGACGTATTTAAATATAGATTCAGCTACTTTTTTTTCATTTAGTATGATTTTACAGTAGAGAAAACCAATACAACCAATACTTTAATTTATCGTCACTTTAAATAGATATGAGTACATTTAGTCTTTTGCACACATAAACAGATCTATCTACATGTGTGTATATATACTCATATACGTACAATGGTCTATACACCTTAATATGATCTCCATGAATTATGAAACTAGCAAATAAAAAAAAATCAGTAAATTATAAAAATAAAAGTTAAAAAAACATTCTGACACATAAAATGTACTAAATTCACAAAGGTCATACGAAATAAATAACACTACTCAATAGATGTGTGCTAATGTTAAAGTGTTTATCTGTATTTATATGTGGATGGCTGTGTGTGCATGTACGTGTGTGCGGTAATACTATTATCCGTACAATAACAGTACTCTGTCACTCAATCAAATGAACCATACGTACATAACATACAGGATTTAGTTTAACTTACAATCAATTAGGTCATTTCTATCGTTTTATTACAATTTAAATAAATAAACAAAATGTACTGAAAGTAATTAAGATGATAATGTGCTGCTTATATCCAGTGTTTACTAAGATTATCCTCTCCCATAGATAATTTGTACTTAGATGTTTTGTAGCTTTCAAAAACATAGCTTCTTGTAGCAACTGCCTAAAGTTTTAATCAGCAAGCAGTCTAAACTGCTGCAATTGTTGGTTATGAATGATTATTGACCTCCTGTATTGATATAGAAGACTGAATGTATCTAGTCTTTTGCGCCTTCACGTATCTAGTTTCCTTTTCAGAGGAATATTAACGAAGCATCATCTTTGCACAGTACTCCTTCAAAACAGTTCGGACTGAGAAAACAGTCCATGAAAATTGTTGGCCTTGACCAAAAGCTCAGAAGGAAAGAGTGCAGCACCGACTGAGAAAGCTGTACTGAAGACTTCGATTATCTGGGGATACTCAACATTGGTGATATATTGCAGCTAAGCAAGTACGACATCGATTCCAGCTTTTGAAATCTTCCAGGGATATTTAGAAGCATTAAAATCAATAAAGTACAAGTTCACTGTCACACAAAATGTGAGGACATCCGGCTGACAACCTTAAAATATGATGAAAACCCTATCTAGGATTCCACTCAACTCTATATTGAGACAATCTACACCGAATGCTCGATTAGCAGCAGAAACTGATCAGTTGAATTTCTACATATCAACAAACGGAAATTACAAACCCATGCTAATGGCTTTCTCATGTGATGGTCGTCAAAACGTCTGATAATTAAAAGCTAGATTTCATCGCCATTATGCATTACCAGGAGATAGAAAAATAAAAACTCAGTTAAATAATGTATATTTTGTTGATAATATTACACTCAGAATCATTAATGCACCTTTCCTGAATTCTAAAATGAAACCGAAATGAAACACTTTGTACAAAAATCCATCAGAGTAGTTATTATGCAGCTTCGTGGATTGGTTGCGGTTAGACATTAAAACCATTGGATGCCACCTCAGTGGTCCAGTAGATTAAGCGTTCGCGCGCGAGACTGAAGGCCCTGGGTTCGGATCCCGCGAGCGGGATCGTGGGTGCACACTGTCAAGGAGTCCAAGAATACGACAAAACGGCCGTCCAGTGCTTCCAGGTTTTCAATGTTGTTCTAACATTAATCGGTTCATGATCTCAATCAAAACTTAACAATCCCCACAACCCCTATACTGATAGTTAATATGCGTTAGATTAGTGCTCAATTAATGTGACTGGGTAAGGTATATAGAAGCTCCGAACACTTGATACTCTATGCGAAGAATAGCTTCAGTAGGCGTAACAGTTTTATTAATCAAAATCGCAGATCACTCACTTTGATGCAATACCAGATGTTGTGGTATAGAAGCAAATATGTACTAGTAATGATGAACAGTCCCAAATACTACGCTAATACTTTAATAAGGAATGTCTTTGATATTACTGATCCCACTACTCTTAATCGTCATCTTCTCAATATAGTCTTGTCTAAAAATAACAAAATAATGATTATCAAGAAAATAGGATTTAATCCGACCAAACTTAGAAAGTTGTCAATAGTTCCAGTATGATAACTATATTGATAATGTCATCTGAAATATTATCATGTTGAATTAATTTGAATTTAACCTTAGATTTCCTTAATTCACATTTTATATATAAAACAGCATACAGAAGATTTTATATACATTTAAATAGTATTTTTAAGTTGTTTTATATCACGAATCGATATCAGCCTGGGAATCATAGTAAGCTAGAGACTATTGGATAGCTATTTTACCTTAGTTTATGAGCTTATCAAGGATGAACAAGCAAGATCTCATTATGAATCAAAGTTGTCTCTTCTCTTAATAAGTCGTTATAATACCTGTGTATATTTCAACTAGTACCTACTGATTTAATGAAATAATATGTGTTATTAGAGAATTTGTTGATTGTCGAATGAATGAATGAACCACTATATTGTACATTTCAAGTTAAATACTTTAAGACATCTATCTACCTAAAGACTTACATGATCAAAAGAAATACAAACGTGTAATAATATACGTTTTTAGAATTAGATATATGGTTTTTTCCGAAAATATTTAATTAAATTCCACTATAGTTTTCATCACGAACAGATATGGTCATTCGTAAAAACAGTTCGAAAAATTCCAACTAAATGACTGGGTAGTGTTTTATCTTCACAAAATACTGATAATACTAATAGTATGATTCTGGAAGGACCTGGTGTTTTAATAAAAAACAAACTGTTATCCTACTACTGGTCTAACTATTTACTGCAATTGAGAAGAAACTGATACATGCTACAATGGAACAAGACTAATATGGCTCAATGTATGGAGGAAATTATTACTGTGGATAAATTTTTTAAACACAGTTATATGAAAGAAGAATATAATTGTGTTTTAATATAATGGGACTTTTCGGCTATAAATTATATATATATATAGAATCCAGGACGCACATTTCGTCCTATTTATATATATATTTATATAATCATTTTAGGTTTAGAAAAGAAAGTACAAACACTAGTGATAAGGAATTATTCATAAACATTATAATAATTCAACATATATTTTAGATGAAGCAGTTTAGTGAAGACTAATCTTCAGACGGTATTCGTTATAGATTGATCTCATTTGAAATACGACTGAAAACCATGAAGTACTGAACAGCTGTTTTGTCCTAGTATTAACCCCCTCTGTAAATCGTGTAGTCAAAGTTCACCATCAGGACAAGTTAATTTCAGTTCACCAGGTTGTTAGTAACATTTAACTTTAAACGCTTCAGTCTTTCAGGCACCAAAAACACAAATTACTGATGATAAAGCAAAATAGACATGTTAACATTGGCTCCACTCCATTCATTGCTAAATACTTGCGTATTAAATTAGAGAAACTAAGCATTCGAAAGTTTGATACTTTTTATGTATATATTCATATATTTCTAATCAGCAAATAATTATGTTTTCATTTTTAATTTTCATTTAGGCATTGGTGCTTGTGGTGCAGAACATATGGAAGGAATCGCTTATCCGAATGAAGTATGTTTCAATTGTCTAATGAAGTTCACTGATTTTTTTAAAAAACACAATCCATTAAGTTAACTAGTTTAATTTTAATATTTACTAATAAGTTATCTAATTCACTAATTAACATTCAGTTTTTAATCAATATGATGGAATACAGTATCTATCAACTCTAAATAAAAAAATAAATTACTACCGGAAATCAATTGGTTACTGATTACTAGGAGATGAGTCGTACAAACTGAAAATAAGGATCCAACCGTTTTCGAAATTTACATTGAGTATCTGTCGCTGTATTAAGCGAAATATCTTTTATTCCTCTTAGTAAGCACACCTCAATAACTGCATTCTTTCATGATTTAACAGGCTTCAAAAAAGCTAATCTATCAAACGAGGTAATTGAATTTATTAATTAAATTTCTAGGAAATAACTTTACAAAATGGGTGGGGAAAATTCATCATTTTTCAAAATAGCTACTCCATCAAAATTTTAAATGTCTTGCATTATCAACAAGACAATTAGCCTTTTGGTTATTTAATCAACTGATGTTTGTCAAATGGTGTCAAGAAAGTAGATGAAATCAAACTGCCATGTACGGATTTTACTCAATGCACTTTACACTAAATTAGGTGGTCTTCGGATATTAGTTCAACTTAAAAAGTGTGAATAATAACAGCTTATTTGCTAGTAACTATCCGTATTGAGGAGTTCATGGCATTCCAACAGTAAGCTTTGTTAAGGGAAACATCTACATTGGTGGTGAAATAGTACCTCATAGATGATTTTGGATAAAGATCACACTACATCGCCATTCACTTGCAGTCAAAAATTAAAACCGTTTCATTTCAAATTAGAGATATCTTGCTGACCGAGAAACGTAAAAGTTCAGTGTTCAAATAAAAGGGGATTTATCAGTAAACCTGTACCATAAGGAGAAGTTTTAGTCTTTTCTTATAATTAACGTATTACAAAACAGGGGAAATGAATGATGAGTTCTTAATAAAAATGACTTAAAAATACAAAACATGTACACTTTTAACATACTTAGAAAACTCCATCAATGCTTCTGATGAGTTTCTTTGTTCCATAAAGGGAAAGTGTTCTATATAAAAACTCATCTATGTTACTCCTAATCAATAAACTGTCTGAATTTTTATATGGACATCGATATCAATTGTTAGCGTTCAGTCGTGACATACAGTCTATGGAATGACGTCTGTTAACAACCAGTTTGTGAATACAACAAAATATGTAGAGACTATTTAGATTTTCTGACTCACATAGATAGGCGTTGTTAAATGAATGATTTCTCGATGTGGTTGTTTGCGTGAGTTGTATCTGATGCTCGTGAGACCCATCACAGATGTGGAAGTGAAATTCTGATGAATAATTGTTTATTTCTGTTTGCATTTGTTTATGTTGTGTTTACTTTTACTCATTCTGACATTGTGTTTTTTACAGTGATGTAAAATGTAGTCTTTCTGATAAGTCAAATATTACTAAAGTATTCAATTATGATGTTCGCACTGTCGTTAGCTGGAGTGGGTTTAATATTCGGCATTATTTTTGTATAATCTACCACGACGTCCAGATTCTTGTTTAGACTCCAAGCGGATTGCCTTCAAAGTAAAACTTTATCAAATAAACCTAAAACATTCCCTTAATCTAAATACTTCCACAACTGTTGCTGTTTTTTTATATAATCAGTCCTAAAATTGTTATGTTTTGAAGTTTTATTCCTTAAAGTTTGAAAAACTTATTGCATAACACGGTTTGATACACTTTTCAACTTTAAAAGATTTCGACTCTTAAGCTAGCATTATTTTGAAATTTTTATTCTTTTTTGACTTGACAGGAACTCATTTGTACAGGATTTAACGATTTCGACAATATTGATATTTCAGATATGAGTACTTAGTGTACTCGTTAGATTTTTTCTGGTTCCTTCAAATGTTCAATCATCAAATGATCGACTAACTGACAAGTATTGTCAAATGATCAATCAGTCAAACACGGCATTTCGATTTCTTAATATGATATGACTTTCGTAATTTGAGACACTACTTTCACTTCGCTTAATATAAATATATATGCCTATGTTATTGTAAACAACAACTAACTTACTTTTTACAAAATGAGTAGTATAATTTCTTTTGTGCAAAAAACGAGAGGATACTTTTCACTGATATAACTGGATTTAACTGTTCAATGAATCGTGAAAAAATGGAGAAATAATGTAGCATTACTTATAAAAATAACTTTATTCCTATTCTTTACCATAGTTCACTATTATCACTATTAATATTACTAAAACCTCATATTATTAAATTATATTGTTTGTTGGATATATACACGTTTACACACCATTTGTATTACCGCCAAAACAGATTAAGTGCCTTCTCAGCTCCTTTTTCTCTCTTTTATCTTGATTTGCCTTATTATTATGTTTTATGAATTTTTCGATATTTGTTGTATAACGTTCAGGGAAAAATTTATTACTGTTGGTAATACTAATAGTGATAATATTAAATATTTAATAGTACAACCTTACCACCCTCTTAAACTGTTTTTTTTCCACCATATATCTTGCTTCCCAAATTTATCAATAAGAGACTTTCAACACTTACACATTTACATATGTGCACACACACAAATATTTCTTTCCCCTATTTTCCTTATATATATATATATAGCATTTTGTTGTAACAGGCATCTCCGTTATACATATGTCTGGTTAATTGACCAAATGGTTGACTGCTATTCTGTTTTAATAAATAAAACCCACACCCTCATTAATTGAAATAATACATTTGGTAATTTCATATTGATGTTTGACAGAAATATTTTTTACAGAAGAACGAGTGCAAGTCAGATAATAGATAAACAAAATGGTCAATATATTAGTAATTTACCGTAATTAATTGTTTCATGAAAAATGTTTGTTGAAGAACATGGAAAAAAATAGAATGTTTCTTTTGACAGTAGTCAGTCTAAGAAGAGATTTGAGTGTTAGTAGCACATAATAATAACAATGATGACAATACTAATAATATTACTAGTAGTAATAATGATGATGTTAAGAATTTTTAGTAAGAGCATAGATCATTGGACATAGGGAATAACTTGTGACAAAAGTGTATCGATGACATGCTAAGAGACATTGAGTACTAAGAGAGATCACACTTGTACAAAAATGAATTAATGAACAATTGTCTTTCAAATATATTATTCAGCTTTCTATCTTTTGTTTTGATTCACTGTACTGGAAAACTTAACGCTTAACGTAAATACCTAATTGAACTACATTAGTTTCTTTCATCTCAGGTCTTTTTTTACATACGTGTATACACTTAAAAGTCATATTTACATCTATACAGTTAAAGAAAGTTTTTTTAATTTCATTTAACTTTTAATTTTTTGTTATCTAACAAATCATTCTTTTACTATTACCCCTTTTGTTTAAATCATACCTGATTATGACACTTTTTTTAATTGTTTTAATATCATTTCTTTTTTCTTCCAAGTTATTCAAAGAACAAAGGATTAACGAATGATACCGAATCTCTTTTTATGGTATGACTAAAAGTTGTCTAATATTTTATTATTTAAACAGATTTCGCTTTTATTTCATCTTCTTTATAAAAACACAACCCAAAAATGCTATTCATCAAGAACATCCATACTAGTTGATTTTTCTTTCTGTTTGTAGAATTCTGTCAACATAACTATATTGTTTAGTTATCTACTTTTCTGCTCTCTTTTCCCTTTTTCTCTTGCTTTTCCTTTAGCTAGCTGTAAGAAAATTGACCTGTTTTTTCCCCAAATAAAAATATATTTATACAAATTTCTTTGATTACACACTTCGTTATTTAACGTTCACAATAACTACTACCATTTTGTCTTTTGTTCTTTCCTCGATTTTTCCTTTACAAGAATAATCGTTTTGCTTTCGTTTTACTTGTACTGTATTGTTCTTTCACAAACACACACACACACATTTATATTTACACTACATTTTGTTTATTTCTTATGGAACTATCTGTAAGTTAACATGTAATCAATCATGCACCATTATTACTGTTAGCTAAATGGTTAATGAGAACAATCAATGAGAAAATAGAATCATAGTTCGCATTTTATGTCTCTTGTTCATCTTGTTCATTTATTCCTAGTAATACATAAAGTTATTTATTTACTTAGTTATTTATTAGTCCATACCCAGTAGATGCATTTTTAGAAATAATAGTGATAATTATTACTCTCCTTTACAGTTGATTTGTTATCACAAATAACCATTTCATTTATAATCTTCACTAACAAGTAGAATTAGTTTCATTGTTATATATATATAGCAATATCTATTCTTACTTTTTCCTTCCCAGTTGGTTGCTGGTTTATTCTCCAATTGAATTCAGTTGTGATCTTAATAACTACTAGTGTTTCCAATTAGCAGTATAATACAATAAAATGGAAATTATAAAGTGAAAGCTTAGAAAGAAGTGGGTTATCAGTTGGTGACATTCATATTTTAGTTCTGTATTGTCCTCTTTTATTCTTTTTACATTTATTAATCTTTTTAGTCTCTTGTTTTATCCCTTCCTAGAAGATTCACCACATTTAAATACAAAAAACGAAAACAAGTCTCTTTTTGTCAGTCATCATTTTTTTAGTTATATTTTCTTCGCAAATTTAAAAGTGAATAGTCACTCGCTTGATTGAAAAAATTGTTATGAAAATATATCTTCCCAGTACTACCGGACATCAATATAGACGTCATTTCCCATTGTTACTTTATAATTCTATTTAATTGTTAATTTCCTATTTGTTTAATTAGTTCTGTCCTTTAAAAAGAAGATAAATGAACAAATAATTGACTGAGATTGACTGTCTTTTTCAAAGCGAGTTTTTTTCTATAAATTTTTATGTCCGTCTCCCTATTCACCTATTGATCTACAAGCTGATCTACATCATCTACCTAACAATTTGTCATTCATGAAAACTTTTCAATAATTTCCATTATCAACGATATCAATTATTACTATTGCTATTATTTGTATTTGTGTATAATTACATGCTTTCTAGTGTACTTAAGTGTATTCATATATTAAAGAGATATTCCTGAATTCTGTTTCTTCAATATATTGATATTAGTGAACATGATAATAGGTTTCATGAGTTCTTTTTTTGTTTAATCCTTATTAAATAATATCAAGCATGATCATCATACAGTTTATTTAAAAGTTCTCTTTGTTCTCTTTCACATAAGTTTTACTTCTTTTCACAATCTATATATACTACTTTTGAGGTTTATAAGATTACCTTTCCTTATAGTTGTTTTTTTTATTGCTATTATAGCTCATTTAAATTATAGTGCTCAAAAGTAAACTCAATCAAATTACCCTAGAAATCACATTTTGAACTAAGATTATGTTTATTTGTTTTTGCTTTTTTTTTCTGTATTTGTTCACAACACCTTTAAGTTTAGTCAAATTTATGTATATGTTATTTGATTACTTTATAAATAGTGGAAAATTTTCTTTTGAGTTAATATTTGTACAGTTATATGTATGCATGAACTAATGACAGTACTGATAATTATCATAATAATGCTTAATCCATCCATAATTATAAGATGTTATTCATTCAATTTTATTCTCACTTCAAAACTTGTTCACCTTCATGAATAAACTGTATAAACATAATTCTAAAATAGCTGTTCAATGTTATTTTAAATGATCATTAATCGATTAAATGTAACATGAAGCTTCCTTCTCTAGTTCTATCTAATCAAAGTATCTTCACTTTTTTGGATATACATGATTGTCCTTATTGTACTAAAGTACAATATAAATGATTTTGTATAATATAGTCTCAATTTATTCTTTTTAATTAATTATTTACAAATATTCAACATAAAAATAAACAGCTTACTTCCATGACATAGATCAATCGCTTCAAATGATCATTATAATGATGATTATAATGATGATATAAAATATTAATTCCCTGTGTTTTATGAAACAAATAATAAGTTTAATAAGTATAAAAGAAATGTTATTCATTTCTTGATTTTATATTTTTTCTATTTATTGAAATGAAAGCCCATTTCTAGTTGAATATCAATATTTATGATTGATTATTATTAAACTTTAGACATTGTAGAAGGTTAAAGAAGAGTATTAGTAACTGGAGTTCATTTAGCTCAATATGGAATATACAATGTGATATAATAATTAGATATTAAAATTACACTACATAGTATTCCCAATGATGACTTATTTATGAAATAGAAAGGTTTTAGATGTTGAATAATTATTGATACAAATTAAAAGTAAATAATGAAATGGAGTATTACATTAGGTATAAAAAAAGGATTTTCTTTATTAGGAGTACATAATTCAATGTAATTTTAAGATGGTTTTTGAATCAATGATCACATCAATGATAGAATCTGTTAAACATTTATACATGGTTCAGATAAATTCACATTTGCAATCTCCTCATCTTTCTTACATTGAGTTAGCCATATTCTGCTGTGACAAGTAACAAATATCAGTTTCTCCACAATTATAACATGTAGCCATACCAATCATCAATACCAGTATTTTTTCTAAGTTACAACAGGGAGATATATAGTTTTCTTTTTTGACATAACTGATCAGTAAATTCTAAATTAAACGAATTTATCTAAACTATATAATGTACCTGATCGTTTACCACTAGTTTACCTTCCGGTTAATGAAATTTCAATGAATTTTATAAAATACTAAGTGTCAGATAACAAAGTACTTGCATTTCAGTAAATTTTAGTTTTTCAATCGTATAAATTCATGATTTTTTTAAATTACAAGCTTGGGACCTTTACATTTTGTAATGAATCTATAAATTGTTATACAGAAGTTTTTTTCAAAACACTTT